AGGGAGGGCGACTTGAAAGAATGACTATACCAGCCTTCTCCACAAAGAAGAGAGAAGATGGCTTGCCATATCTCGAATGGCACCCTGCGAAGTGAAGAAACGACAGAACCTCGTTGCCGTATTCGCTCCTGGAGCTTCTTGAGCTCACGCTCTTCCTCTTCTATGACCTCCTGTATCTGCATAACCTCCAATCGAGTAGGAACGTAGGTCGTACGAAGGATACGAGGATCTATCGTGGACATTGGGGTGTCCTCCCTGCGCAAGGGATTCTGGGCGAGCAACATGGTGTTTTTGGCTGTTGTCGAGTAGAGTTAATCGATGATTCAAAAGGGAATCGCGGACTCACCTTAAATGGCGTTCGAAAGACAAAAAGGAATGGTACTATGCGTGCACGTTTTTCTTTATTGTTGTAGCGTTGCTACGCCTCAAATCAGCTCCCGCATCCAGATCCTACGCAGACCCAAGTAACTATCTGATTTGAGTTTGGTATGCTTGGGTAGAGCTGCTCGAGCGTCTATAAGTACCTCCGGAATTGACGAGAGGAGCACACCTATATCCCAATTACATCTCTTCCTACACTGTATCTCTCTCTACCGTGTTGCACGGATGCGGAAGAGCTGGAGTAGAAAAGGGAACGATAGGTGGGAGCTGTACTTGCGGAAAAACCTCGCCCATTAGCTGGTCGGCAAATACCGGAAGTCGAAACTCCGATGTGACCCTCAAGCCGCATCTATTCCTTTTTTGACAGCCCGTCGCCTTTCCGGATAGGGGCTCAGATAGCCGATGTCAGTATCAGGAAGAATGTGTCTGTCTGTTTATGGTCGACAGTATGACCGACCGTTGAATGTGTATGGCTGCAGGACAGGAGCATTGACAGGACGGGACAAACCTGAGAGAGACTGGGTATGCACTTGTATACTCTCTGTTCATTCATTCTGGTTCCTCATATATCGAGTCTAGAGTCAGCGGAAAGAGTAAATTCAAGAATTGGATATGCCCACCCAGTCCCTCTCAATGTGAGTCATTGAAAACCTAAACCTCTGCTTCAAAAAGCTTACACAGAATTGTAAAGCTCTCTGATTGGTTCTTGGTTGAATATTTCTCTCTACTCGATGGAAATTACCCTCGGTGCAGATTTTCTCCTCCACCACAAACACAATCGATTCCAAAAGTTCAGCGTGGGAGGCTCACTATTCCTAGATACTGCTTGCACCATAGTTGTGTGCTACAGCACCTGGGTTCACACTGGTTCGTTGCAGTTCGTCCGGCCTCGAATTCATTTTCTTATCAAAGTACAAATAGACGCCTCGCTTAAAGCCAGGTCAGGCTGGCGGCCGGGCGTCTTAATCCTGCTCACATACCTGGTGTCAACCCTCGAAAAGCTTTATCTTATTCACCAGTACTGGATTATGTGTGTTAGTCTTCCCAAGTCTTTTCTACCATCTCACCAAATAGGATTTTCTCTATAGAGCTCGGAACAAAACGGTTCTATCAGTTGTCCTCCTTGGAGCTGCTGTCCATGTTGGTTATTCCCCATTCTACCCTTTGTTTAACGAGATCTTCTCAAATATTTTCTTTCCCACCAGCTAATCTTCGCTTCCATTGCTAGCATCTACGTCCTGGTCGTAGGACCCCAGTACCATCGGTCCATGTATACCCCTGCGATTACTTCTGTCACGTAGGCCGTCCTCCGTCTTACCTCCTGCTTCCAATCTCTGACAAGAGACTGGCAGAATCGCAGCTTGTATATGTGCTGCCACCGATCTACTTATTGCGATCAACATGTTCCAAGCCGCCCGCAAGATCGATACTATCGACACTTCAACACAGAGGTACAGAAATCAAATCTTTCCGAGATGCCTTGAAGACTAATTCTTTACTTTTCTAGTTTACTCTATCGTTTGTCAATCCTCGCGATTAGCAGTGGCGTTCTTATCGCGACTGTGACTATCCTCATGGTCATCTTCCGCTTCACATCTAAAGACGGTACGTAGAAGAACCTTGTGGGTGGGGGCCCTCTTCTATCGATAGGTATAACTTCGATCTGATGTTATGACAATGGATAGGGTTCTCTTTCGTTTTTAACCTTCTCGGTCGGATATACACTCTCACTACAGTCGTCAACTGTATCGCACTCAAGCGGCATAGAAACACATCCGCGTCAATTTCTGCAGTGAACGACTCGAACGTTCCAGCCCCAACAGCCTCTAGAACTCCAGGTTCGGTCGCCTTGACACCCACGAGTCAGTTGTTCCCTTTAGCTTCCCCAGTCCGTTTTTTCAAAAGTTGATTTCACAACAAAAATTTGTATAGACCGTCAGACTTGTACAATTCCTGAGGACGACTCGGCGTCGTCTCGAGTCACAAAATCTGTGGTCAGGAATACGGATGTAGAGATCCGGTCTGATGTAGATTAGCTTGAAGATACCAGCCGCGGAAAGAAACAGGTATTGACATACCGTACTGCCTAGCACAGGGAGTTTCAATTTGCAAGTAGTTGCTAACAAAAATTGGAGTAAGGTAGCCGGCCTGAGCCTCAGATGGTTCTTCCCGCAGAGCGATGCACTGCCGCCGTCGAAACTTGATTCAGAATGACGCCGAATGTCAAAATCAACGAAGAGGAGTCCTAATACTATTGCAACGTATCCGATCACCGCCAAGGTTGCGCCAAAACACCAAACTCACGGTATGAGGAATGATATACCGGAGCCCATATATGGTAGTTGTCTATCCTATTGAGATACTAGATAAAATATTGAGGAAATCGAGATCTGAGAAATGAGAGGCCGCGGGCCGGAGAATGTCATCGGCTCATCATGTGATCAGCCGTTCAATCTTCTCACGATCATTCTTATTGTCCACAACCCGTCAAACCACCACGAGCAACGTACTGGGCCTGCGGCCTCCAAACATTTACTCTCCTTTCACTACGATTCAGGAAACATGGGCGTCGACGACAAATGGATTGGACTCGCCTTAGCGGTCTCTAGCTCAATGGCAATTGGAATGAGCTCTATCATCACTAAAAAGGTCAGCCCTGTGCTTTTCTATGTATGTATGCCACGAGTTGGCTGAAACTCCCACTACCGTCCAGGGTCTTAATGCTGCTGCCGCTGATAATGGATACGGAGATGTTGCGTCTGACAGTTTATCATACCTCAAAAATCCTATATGGTGGGCGGGAATGTCTACACGTACGTCTTATTTATTCCATCTCGTTTTGGGAGGCGCTAATCAACCCACGTAGTTGTCCTCGGTGAAGGTATTGGGTTTCCCATTCTGAAAAAAAAAAAAAAGAGTAGAAGGAACTGATTACCCGGATCAGTTGCCAATTTCGCAGCTTACACTTTTGCTCCGCCTATCCTTGTCACACCGTTGGGTGCACTTAGTGTTCTGATTGGGTGAGTTATCTCTTTGAATGCAGACTCGTTGATAATGATCATTGAAAACTTTCAGTGCTGTATTAGCGTCATTCCTTTTGCACGAGGAGTTGGGTCACCTCGGACGGGTCGGATGTGGTCTTTCTTTGCTTGGGTCATTGATCATCGTTCTTCACGCTCCAGAAGACACACCAGTGGACACCGTTGATCAAATTTTGGGTTATGCGGTTCAACCAGGTGTGTGTGCATGGATTGTATCTCCGAAATACCTCGCTCACTCCACTGCCAGGTTTCCTACTATACATTCTTACCGTCCTCGTCTTCTCCATGGTCATGATCTACAGCGTCTCCCCTCGCTACGGACGCTCAAACCCCATCGTCTACATATCCATTTGTTCGCTCGTCGGCTCCGTCTCCGTTATGGCTATCAAAGGATTTGGTGTTGCAGTCAAACTTACCTTTAGCGGTAAAAACCAATTCGTCCATGTCAGCACTTACGTCTTCGGAATCATATCCATTCTATGCATTCTCGTGCAAATGAACTACTACAACAAAGCCTTGGATACTTTCTCCGTGAACATGTGAGTAACGCCTTCTACTAACCCCTCCAAAACTGACTTATTTTATCACCACTCAGCGTCAACCCGATGTACTACGTCGGCTTCTCCTCAGCAACTATTGTTGCTTCTCTCATTCTTTTTCAAGGTTTCAACACCGACGACACTACCAACACCGTTTCCCTCCTTTGCGGATTCATCGTCACCTTTCTTGGCGTTCATGTCTTGAATCTCTCACGTAAAGAACAAGAAGCGATGGACAATGCCGTGGACCCACTTCCAGCTCACCGACGTCGTGTGAGTTTGACAGGACGGTTATCCATTGACGGATGGCACGGCATCGTCGAGCACCACGGTGCACCACCTGGTTCCGCTGGCGGTCCCGGTCGTCGAAGTTCGTTGTATCGCCAACAAAGTCATGCTCTGTTCAACGCTTTTGAGGGAGACGAGGATTTTAGAAGAAATGGTGCTCGAGAGAATGTTGGTTTACATCAATTACGGGAGGAAGATGAGGATTATGATGAGAATGATGATGATGCGGATGAGAGAACTCGTTTGCGACCTTTTGGACTTGGAAGGAGTGGTGGTGGTGGTAGTGGGTTACAAACACCTGTTGGGAGGCATACGCCGAGGAGAAGTGGATCTGGATCTCAGTCACCTGTTAATCCTCATAGTCATCAAGCACAGTCTTTGGGAGATGTGCGGTTATCGCCTAGTCCTAGACCCGTGTGATGTGTCTTTTTATGGACGAGCTTTCTTTTTTTTTTCTGTTATTTATTGACATTGAGTATCGAGTATTCCCGTTTTTTTTGGTTATCTCTTTAGACTACACGGGACTTTTTTCCACCCCGACTAATAAATACCACCATGCATGGGTTCTTTGAACCGTGTTGATTTATACCATCCATCTGAAGTGTTCTGGATTGATTGGGAGATTCGCCTTAAGAATGGTTTTTTGTCTCCTGTTTTCCTGAGCCGCGGAACCCTAAACGCCAAGGTTCTCCTTCTACAAACTTCGGTCCTTCTTACTTCATAGAATTCTTCTAAGAACTCTAGAAAAATATGGTTCAGCCCGGGGTCGAACCGGGGACCTTGTGTGGTCACTTCATGTGAGACACAAATCATAACCACTAGACCACTGAACCGTTGGTGAAAAAGCTACACATCACCAATATATGTATCCAGAAAATAGAGGTGCTGATTAAAATAAGCTTTTTCACCCATGTGGCATCTCATAGCGGTACAAGAACCCGGCAACACAAGAATTACAACTTGAAGAAGAAAAAAAAAACCCATCATGACGAATCCATGCGTTTTGGCCATGGGCCCGATTCAAAAACAGTAAACGGAAAAACGGCGTTTGTTCAAAGAGGGTATCCACCCCAACACGATAGATACATCAAAAAAACCAAAGCTTCAAAAAATTCAAATATAATTACTTGCTACATGTACACGGAAAAACGGCGTACAGCCATCGTTCAGAAAAAATCCAAGGGTTATGTAAAAAAAAAAAAAAAAAAAAAGAGTATTACATCGATAACGATAACTTGTCTATACAATGGGGTGTCATTACACAAACTAAAGAAAGTGACTATAAATGTTGTATATACATACTCAAGGGACAGATGGGGGTGTCACGAAAAAAAAAAACACCCTGCCACTGCCAGATTGCCATTCCTGTAGATCCAGAGAGAGAAAGAGGGGGAAGAAATCAGACGGAAAAGGATATATGAAGAACGAGGGGTAGAGCGTGGTAAAAAAAAAAGAGTTTGATCTATGCACGAGGCAGAAAAAGTAAGCGACAAAAAAAAACAAAAAAAACGTTCGCCAGTTAAAAGATCGTGAGCAATAGGCCGTGAAAGCATGACTTTTTTTTTTCATAAATCGAGATGGAGAGAGAGGAGAAACGCATGGATGAAGCAAAGTACTAAACAGATAAAACGGAGATATGTCTAGATGAAACACAGCATGAGTGATTGATTGCGTTGATACAGCGCGGAAGGGGGAAAAAACAGCATGAACACGAAAGATAACAAAAAAGAAAAATGACTTCACGAATCAAGAGGTGGAAGGAATTGCAAATGTGATGATACAATTGACTTGAGATGAGAAAAAAAAACAAAAGAATGGGAGCGTGTGTATAATGCATTGCTCGGGTCGGGGGAGTCCAGACTGTTTAAGTTGAGATGGCAAATGCCCTATACTTGGATTGGGCGACGTCAATGGGGTCATCATGAGAGTAGTTTTGATTGTTTGAGATGTTGTCGGATGACCATGTCACGAACTAAAATAAAAATTTGTGAGGGGCGCTGTCCAAGCGTGATGCCGAGGGAACTCACCACTGGCGATTATTCCAGCCGTCGTGGCCGTTTCCTGAATGATTGATAGTGCGTGTGAGTTGAGGGGAAACTAGGGCTTCCAGTGAATGTCTTACAGTTACAGAAGTGCAGAACGCGTAAAACTTTCTCGGGCTGGGAGAATACTCGCGATGGATAGCGCTAAACTTGCTGCGAAGATCTGGGGGAAACAGCGAATCAGTGATGGGCGCGCCTTCAGGTATGAACGAATTACATTTGCTGACGGTGTCGATGTCGTTGGGACGGTCCCCATAACTTCTCACGTATTTTGATAGTCTGTCATCAAGTAGCACGTTTAGCACGGACTGAGACACGACGTTGAATTCGGAATTTACCTGATACCTGAGTTCAGCTTGTGCTCCAAGATGTCACACTTGTTCAAAAACAGTACTAGGTCGACATTTGTCAGAAGTTTGTTCGAACAAACGGACTTCCATAGCAGAACGGAGTCTTCCTATAATGGAAGATCTTTGGCATCCTGGTGACAGTATGAAAATAGAATGGGGAAACGCACGAGTCGGTTGACCGTACGGTCTTCGGCGAGAACTTGGTCAAACCCTGATATGGGTGCCAGAAATATGATAGCATCAACTACATCGCGAACGTCAGCCCAGCTTCCAAGACTTTCTTGACGGAAATACTACCAACCATCATCAAAAAAAGGAACCCATGTTTCTAGGATATCGTGTCAAAGAGAAACTCTCAGTACTAAAACAAGGGGGTGCTCACGACGCTGAAAAGGGTGAGAGTGAATTGACAGATCAAGGATGGCAGCCGATTAATCAACCTACCTGACTCCTGCTTCCACCGACATCCACGATTCTCCATTCTGATGGGGTGTCTCTTGCCGGATGGACTTCCATTTCAAACCTGTACTCGCAGACACCGACAGTTTTTAGACGAGCCTTGAGCACATCGTCTGTTACATTAAGCGATTGATATCAAACGGGTCCGACAAGCGGGTTAATTAACTTACCTTCAGTAGGCATGTACTTTAGAGACGTCACGCGTTCTAAATCATTCAGGAAGCTGTGTGGGACGGGGATGAGCTCCATCCGGAAGGACGAACATAAGTAGCATGTTACTCACAATCCAGGGAATTCCTCTAAGCGTATTTTTCTCCGAGCCAAAATCGTCCGAACAGTATCGTCATTCCAGAGAGCCATGATGTCTCTGCGACACTGGTAGAGAACCTGTTGAGGCTCGTCTGCAGCATCTAATCCAGCATTTGGCGCGCTGTTAGGCCTTCCAAGCCTTGTTGAATCGCTCTCGTCGCTTCCTCCAGAGCTGTCAGTAGGAACATGGCGAGCTCTGGACAGGGCGCCCTTCCAACCTGCTCCCGGTCGTACAAACACCTCCTGGATCCGGTAAGCCAAGGGCGGTTGCGCAACTTGTCGCACCGGGGATGGTCCGGCAAGTTGCGTGGCCTCGTCTTCATTTGGGGGCACAAGTTTGGCCACGAGTAGAGCTTCCATGTGCTTCAAAGGTAACAGCCTCAACTTCAACGCTTCAAATGGTGAAGAGTAAAGCGTCACTGAGGAATGATCTGACCGACCACCGTATGCTTCAAAGTCCGATTCACCGTCCGATTCGCCAGAGTCCGCGCGTGGGTAGCCAATGCTATCGACGTAACCGTTCCCATTCTGGTATGACGCAGAGGGCCCCGCTTCTCCGTTCGTTGGTGACACAGACGTTGTGTTAGAATACCGACGTTGGCGTTGATATGAAACATTGCGTTTGTGAGGTTTTGGAGACACTCTGGGAGATATATGAGGAGATGTAGGAAGGGATATCGCATCCAAAATTATGCGTATTGAGCGAATGATGTTGAGCTGAATGACTGCACGCCAAAGAACTCGTTCTTCCCGGAATGCTGTCGGTGTGTAAAGCCGTTGAAATTCTGAACCGAAAATATGTAAGTCGAGATTGATAGTTTTAAGGTGCCAGAATAAAAGACCAACGTCTTAATGTGGTGGATTTGCCTGGGGAAAGTCAGTACATCCTCGCTACCAGGAGCGCGAATTCAGCGCACCTGATTCGCTCTGTCCCAGCAATAGCAACCTGATGACTCTCTTCTTTCTTCGCGCTTGACGCTCTGCCCTGAGACTGGCATCAATCGCCAGACTGATTTGCCTTGCCTCATTTTCCCGTTGGAGACGAATTGCGGCTTGCTCTGGCGTTTCGTCAGGCGGTGGCCTGAGAGCTTCATCGAACGGATCGTCTGAGCGAGATATATGTGGTTCTGAACTGCCCCGCATCATAGAGATGATGGTGGTTGAGAGCAGAAAAGAGGGCAGCGGAGGGAAAAGCTGTGAGAATGCCGAGGGAAGGGGTCAATTATTAGGCTCGTTCTTTAGTGTCAGGCACACTGCAATACTCCCTTACCTTTTTGGATAATTATCACGTGAAATATGCTCTAGCGTGGGAAGTTCCTTCCTTTTCCCTCATTTGCGATTCCTGAGCCAGCTATATTTGCTTTTTTTGTCCATCTCCCGAGTTCCTGAAGCTCGGTTCGCCCTTTCCGAGAAATCTCAGGCACTCTAGCAGGAACGATCATTATGTTAAAATAAGTAGAGTGGCCGCCGGGTCGCCTCGAGGCGGTTTGGGCCACGCAAAGGCCACGAGAAGGGATGTACAAGCTCCTTGTGCATCTTGTTCTTCTACCTGATTGTAGCCTAGGTGAAGGAGTCTAGTTTATCAAGATCGCGTTAGGAACCGTCGCTGGTGAGGCTGGAGGCCGTACAGCGCCTCGTAACGATGAGAGTTTACACGCTTTTCTCAGTATCAGGGTACATTACTACATCCCCCAGCGAGTCTCCAAATACTTACCCCAAGTCCGCTCATTTGCTGTTCAGTTCTATCCCAATAGGACTCATGCCGGCAACAGCGGCTCCAGCTAGTCAATATTTCAATTTTGATCTATCCGTTTCATCGGAGGGACGACACTGGGGTGATTAGACAAAGTGCCTGCCGGCTAACTTTGATTGCGCGACATGAGGGTACCAACGAGTCCTAGTCAATCGTCAGTGCTTTTTGTGTATTCTAGAAAGTTTAATTACGCCTCTACCTCCTGGACGCTAAATACATGCTCGGGGTCGACGAATGGGTCAAGTGCACGCTGCTCGAACCGATGATCCGCGGTCTGTATACGACCCCAAAGACAGTTCTGAACACAGAACACAATATGCCCATTCTGACGGTTGACCATACCTAACACCGGTTCACACCTTACCGCCCTATTCGTTCCTGGACATGGCACAGCTGTGCAAAACGTTTTTTTTTAACGAGGACCCACAGCGTTTATATATGTTTTCAGGAACCGACACACTATGGAAGATCGGCGGTCGGCCCTGTAACAGTTGTCGAGTTGTAATAAACCAAGACGAAAGCCAAATCATAAGCGACAGGGAGAACGTAGTAAGGGGGAAGTTCTGGGGAAGACGTCTGATGTAGGATTTTCGGGTTCAGTTTCCGGCACAAACCATCAATGAAACCGCCCCTTGGGCCTTAGGAAGAAAGTCGTTCCTGAGTCACGGCCTACACACTGCAAGACGGTAACGAAGAGGGCAATTCAGAAGGTAATTCAGACATCGTTCGGGTTCACAGGGTCCTGACAAGGTACAAATGGGTTTTGGAAATTTCCTGTGAAATGGCATATTAGGGTGCTCAAGGGAATGATCGATAATCGCATCCATCGCTTAGCCTTATTGTAGCTTCCACTTTCGGCCATTACCTCTAAAGCCCAAGGGCCACAAGGCACCGAGATATTTTTATTTTTGTTTATAACG